AGCTGTTCCACTAGTGCTACTTGTTGTCTACCCCTGGGCCAATTAAATTGAAAGAAAAATCAGCATTTCACATCTGTCAAGTTGTCACCCAGTAAAGATCGTCCATGCTTTGTCATGTTGCTGCAGTACTGTACAATATCTGAAGCAACCCAGTGCATTCATCTATTTCCCTGAATGAAAAAAATGACACAGTGTGAATTCAGTGAGAGATAAAACCTAATAAATACATTTCATGAACCAATTGAAAAAGGGGCTCGCCATTTCTATCCATCCATCATGACATAAAGAAGACTGTTTGTTAAAATAAACAACAAGAGCACAGACGGGAATATAAATACTACCTTCCACAGAGGAACAGACACCCTTGTTGTATGCCTCACATCTTAAGAAGGACCTGCAAGCAATTCCTACACACTAGGTTGTGAGTTGACAACTGGCATAAAGACATGTTAACCTCTTAAAGTGATACTGCGACACTTCTGTTGAAAATGGCATGGTTTTCTGTTTGCCATCCCAATGCTGATAGTGGCTGTCATTCAGATAGCCACCGTGGGATTCAGACTATGATTGAATAATTGAATCTATTTAAATGTGCAGAGTATTAGATTCAATGCTTCTCAAGGAGATAAACTGAATTGGTGATAGCCCCTCATGTGAGGGGGGGGGGGGTCAGGTGCAGTGAGAAGTCAGTCCTGTCACTGGAATAATGTTTAAATCAATCAATCAATCTATAAATAGATCAATCGATACAATAAATTATGTTTTTGTACATTTTTAAGAAACCAATGAGTCAACTCCAGCCTTCAGTGTCCCTTTCACCAAGTATTAGACTCAATATTTCATTGGTTATTTGTATTACAAACAAAGCTACAGATGTTAACTGATGTTAAAATGCAGCATTGTAGAAAGCAGAAGTTTAGTTTACATTTAGTGTACTCGTTCTATGAGCCTGCCAATGGCTCTCCTTGTTTGATTTAACAAGCCACAGGTACTCATTTTCTAATAATATTATTTTAAAGAATACGAGGAGTGCCTTCCAAAATAATTAATGATTTGGGGGTCTAGCTTTAAGACGGGGTCATAATCCACAGAAACCACAGTGTTTGCCTAACCAGCCAAATGTTGTTATCTCTGGAAGAGAATATCCGCATCTGAACTGCATAGCACATCTAAGGGTCCATTCCCTCATCAGAACCCATGGGGTTATTGTTCTAATTTATCAATGACGAGCTCAATGTAAAGCAGTTTGTTTGTTCTAATAGGTGTAATCATATATCTCCATTATATGCCTATTGACTGCCATTAAAAGAAAACCAACATATTTTTTTTTCTCTACAATAGCTCCCTGGAACATGAAATAGTCTTTGTGATATGTAACTATCTTAGCTCAGTGCTTTCTTTAGATAATATTTGAGTATGAATAAACATTGAGCTGCATGAATGGTGTAGGAGGAAATTATCGCCATTGACACAAAGGGTCTCGCTCAAGTCTTTCCCTAATTACATGCTTTATTAATTATTTTTAATAATGCTCTTTTTAAAGTTTAGAAGGTCCTTATGGAGTGTTATTAGAAGCACAATTGGGACTTCCTTTTCTTCAGTTGTCTTCATTTCTAACACAATTCCAAAATTCTACAGAGAATTCTCAAAAATGTGTGTATATATTAGCCACCCACCATGTGAAAAGCAAGATCATCATTTTAAGTAATTGCTGACTCCAGCATAAAGCATATATTCCATAAATCATTGTTGAACAAGGCAGAGAAAAGGGTAATTGTTAGCGGGGGGGCTAACCTGGTCTACAACCCAGAGTGTTGTCTGATTTAGGTATTTCAATGTAGGCCTCGACGCCCATGTAATATTGACAGAGAAATTAAAAACTGTCATTTAATGGACAATATTTGTTAGTTAATTGTACAGCGAAATGTATGGGAGTAACTGACAGTTTTCAATCTCAACCCAATCATGACTAAAGAATCCTGTCATATCATAAAGGTATGGATATGTTTTTCAAATTTTTATATATACTTCATTTAAAAAATATATATTTCCTTTCTGATAAAAGGGTTATTATAAAATATAATTTTAATTTTGAGGTTATGGTTGTTCTTGAAGAGGATAAAAAGCTTGAGAGGTGTTATAACTGTGTTGTAAGGATTGTTTAGTATTATTTAGGGTTAGGGTGAGGTTACATTTAGGATTTGGGTATAGGAGGTGTTAAGGATGATTGAGTTCAGGTGTAGAATTGGGTTACATTTAGTACCTGCAGGCCGGGACAGCCATCAGGCAAACCGAGCAAATGCCCAGTGGGCCGTGATGGCCATGGGCCAAGGCCAACGACAGATCAAAGATTCTCCCCTGCCAGCCCATGCAGAGTTGTCACTATCCAAGTGCCAAAATTTTTTTCCCCACTGGCACTTTAATGTGGAGAGTGAGGGGAGGACACGGGAGGCTAAATATTCTTTCTGTCGGCTGGGCAGCTTGGAACCATGAGCACAAGACTTATCTTTGTGTATTTGTATGTGTGTTTGTATCACACAGCCATGCTACAATGCTGCCACCCACCCCATGTGTTCCCTATTAAGGGTTAATAAGTAAATAGGGGTTTAAAAAAATATCCCTCTCTGTCTCAGAGATTTTATTTACCTGAAGGTGAAGGAAGCAATGTGAATTGTTAGTCCCCCTAAGGGGTTTACTTTGATGTGGCAGGTGGGCTTACATCTAAGGGCCATTGGAGTGATAATAAAAACCTCCAGTTATTTAAATATGCATAGGGATTTAGGATAGTGCGCAGGAAATTTTCTTTTTTTTTTAATGTTTTGGGGCTGATGTGTACTATGTTCATTGCTGCCGCTCAGGAGTAGTGGGAGTTTGAGCGAAGACTTATGTTTGCAAATTTGTTTGTCAGTATCACTCCTGTATCTTTCATACTACATTCCCTAAACACATGCTCTTTACAGTCCCTACTCACACTACATCACCTACACCTACACACACATATACTAAAGTCCGTATGCACACACTCGCTACATTCCTTTATGCACCCTAAACATACACTACAGCACCTATACACACTACAGCCCTTAGCCACACATATTATACCACAACACAAGTGAAATAAAGTAGACCTATTTACACAAAAAAAAAAAAAACACACTCCAATCAGCTCACTCTACACACATGCAATCCTACACACAGCCTCCAAACACATTCACAATACACTTTTCTGGTCCTACACCTTTTCAAGTTACCACTGGGTTTGAGAAAGGCCGTGTGTGGCACCCTGATAAAGGACCTGTGGACTGAAAGGTCCGTGCTGGACATTCTTATTCTTTCTATATTATTGTTGACTGGGGGCATAGCCAGGGTTCTTGCACCCTAAAGTGACCAGTATCTATATTGCTTATTATAACAGCCTCATACACAGACACTGAAGGAGCTGTGACAACACTGAGTTTTAGACCCTCTATAACTACTGGTCTGCTGCCAAGCATAGGAGACTGCCTGGACTACAAAGGACTCTGATCATTTCTTTAGGTACTTATCTCTCTACATCAGTTCACTTGAGCTCCAAAGAGGCACAATATAAATGCTGAAAACAGTAGACAAGTGCCTTCTCTGTGTACTAGGAAATCTGGCCCTGATTATGGGATTGATTTGGATAACCAATAGCAGTAGGGATGTGTGAAAGGCCGAACCAGGTGAAATTTCATTTTGCTGAAACCCAAATGACTATACTTATAATGTTACAGCTGAAAAAGTCTTTGTAGCGTAGCGGCAATATTAAATTCCACGAACTCCGCTGGTAAAGAAGGTAATCCACAGTCAAGCGCTGAAAAGTAAGGCAATATCCCAAATCCCCCAGTAACCGGATGAAACACAGTTCTGGGAGTCAACTGAGGTTTTTATTCACAGCATCCAGTATTTATGCAAGTCCCCATGCAAGGGGTTTCCCTACTGACATAGCAGGGGTAACACAGTAGGGGACTACATGGGGGACTTAACATTCTGGGCATTTCTCCCATCAGGCACTGCTGGATGAGAGGGATACTCCCACTGGAATACACCGGTTAGTGGATTATCCCTCCTTGCAGCAGAACCAGGATTTCACATTTAAATACATAACTTTTGCAATACTTAGTCTATTTAAACGAATGGACGTTCGGTAGATAGCTGGGGTCTGAGTGCACAGTTCGTGGGAATACCACTCAGATCCCAGCTAAAACAACCGAACGCCGCATGAAATACACTTTGCCATTGAGTTCGCCCCAAAGTACCGAACACCGATGCGGGAACCCTAATAGCGAAAGAGCGGAGCTCCAGAACGGCCTGGAAGCCCAGCAGTGTAGCCGTTTTCAGTTCCACGTGCTCGACGACCAAACACCGCTGGTGAGACAAAGGATACAAGATGGCCGACCGTCGCGTGGTCGGTAGCCGAGCGGCGGCCACCTAGGAAAGTCTTTAATTACCGATTGCAACATCAATGAGCGCCACACGTCCCTCTGTGTGTGGGCTATTAGGGGGTAGCTCATTCGGTTCACGAACAGCCTGTAAGGTTGCTGTTCGTGAAACGAAACACATGAATGCTAGCGGCTTTCGGCTGCTAGCATACGAATTCAATGCAAACACACAGTAACACACAGTGTAAATCCAGGTTATACATGAAGTTACAGGGATTAGTACAGACAACCTTTTTATGCACATAGTCCAGAGTATTACAAGTGGCTAGGTTTGCACAGATGGGATCTACCAAACACCCTGGCAGAAAGGCACGAATAAACCTTTCAGCAGGGAAAATAACAGGTCTGAACTGCAGGGCCATAGTCTGAAGGGAGCAGGTGAGCAACCAGGCTTCTCCAGTGCATAGTGGCGAGGTTGGTTCTGCCACAGTCTTAATTCAGTCTTATATTGCTTTTCGTCATAAACATGTGCACACCTTATGCAAACATATAATTTAATAATAATATAAAAGGCCAGTTTCAATACGGTATATCACCCTGATGAAGAACGGGAAGGCAGCTGGACCTACTGACATACCAGCAGAGGCCCTGATCTGGAAGAAAGAAGAGATACCGATTGAGTGGAAGGAGGGTTATCTAATGAAGCTTCCAAAGAAAGGTGACCTCAGCAACTGTAACAACTACAGCGCTATCACACTCCTGTCAGTGCCATGCAAGGTCTTCAACCGGATCCTCCTAGAGCAGATGAAGGACATCGTCAATCCACAACTACGAGATGAACAAGCAGGCTTTCGGCAGAATCAATCATGCATGGACCAGATTGCAACGCTGCGCATCATAGTCAAGCAGTCCTTGCAGTGGAACTCATCGCTGTACATTAACTTTGTCGACTCTGAGAAGGCGTTTGACAATGTGGATCGAGAGGTCCTATGGAAGCTCCTCTGGCATTACACATCCCAGCCAAGGTGGTCAACCTGATCAAGAGCTCATACAGGGATATGACCTGCAGAGTGATCCACGGACAGCTTACCAACAGCTTTCAGGTAAAGACTGGAGTCCGACAAGGATGCTTGTTATCCCCGTTCCTCTTCCTCATTGCCATTGACTGGATCATGAAGACATCCCCCAACACACGCAGAAATGGAATCCAGTGGACATTGTGGAGTCAACTGGATGACTTGGACTTTGCCGACGACCTCGCACTTCTCTTCCACAGCCAGCAGCAGATGCAAGAGAAGATCAGTGTGTTGGCAGCTACATCAGCAGAGGTTGTACTCATCATCCACAAGGAGAAGACCAAGATCCTTAAGATCCTTCAGACCAACTGCAGCAACATCAACCCAATCACCCTTAACCCCTTAAGGACAACTTCTGGAATAAAAGGGAATCATGACGGAATATTTCCATCATGTGTCCTTAAGGGGTTAATGGAAGTCCCCTGGAGGAAGTACAGTACTTCACCTACCTGGGCAGCATCATCGACCAGCAAGGTGGAATGGATGCAGATGTCAAGGCAAGGTTCAACAAAGCAAAAGTCGCCTTCATTCAGCTCAAGAACATCTGGGCTTCCAGAGAGCTAACCTTGACCACCAACATCTGACTGTTCAACACCAATGTGAAGTCAGTACTGCTGTATGGGGCTGAAACATGAAGGACAACCAAAACCACCAACAGGAGAATCCAGACATTCATCAACAGTTGTCACAGAAGGATTCTCCACATTCGCTGGCCAGACACTATCAGTAACACCAACCTATAGGAAAGGACCTGCCAACTTTCAGCAGAGGCAGAAATCTGGAAGAGAAGATGGGGCTGGATAGGGCCTACCCTACGCAAACCGCCAACCAACTTCACCAGGCAGGCTCTCAGGTGGAACCCTCAAGAGAAGAGGAAAATAGGCCATCCAAGAAACACCTGGTGATGTGACCTCTAGACAGACATCACAAGGATAGGCTACACCTGGAGTCAACTAGAAAGAATGGCCCAGGACAAAAATCTCTGGAGATCTACCTTTGGTGGCCCATACCCCGGGAGGGGTGGAGGGCATAAGTAAGTAAGTAAGTAATTTTGATTTTCATATCTTAAAAGAACACCAAAAAATTAGCTTAATCAAAAAGATCCACAATAACCCTAAAAATAAACCTTATCCACACTGAAGGAAAATTGGAGTGTCATGTGAGGTATTAGTAATGTCTCACTTGACTAAAATATAACTTTTACTGATTATATTGTTCAAGTAGAGATTGTAGCCGTATTTATAAAAGGTATTACAAGATACAAATTGTATTTGTTTTTTTACACAATTGATTATATTAAAATAATAAAGATACACCAAATCACCCAAGTGGTAACAATTCCAACAATACTGAATGGAAAAAATAAAATAAAAATAAATAAATGTAAAAAATAAATATATATATACACACATACATACATTGTAAGCTCATAGGTAAAGGAAAAAGGGGACTATCACCTAAATGTTTTGTAACCCTGAATTTCCAAATTCATGTTCAAACCCTACTGCCAAACCACGTACTGTTCTTATTAATGTCTTCCTTTCTAAGTCACAACTAGAACTGCCCTTATAATATCAGCTATCTCTCCTGCAACTTCTCTTCGTGCCTTTGATGGCACCTATTGCTAGTTGCTAAGGCTATTGAATTTCAAATTGTACCTTCCTAAAGCGATAAAATCAAAGAAAACTAGTAATACAGGTGGGTCCTTTCAATAAGGTAGAAATATGTATAACTGCTGGTCCATTTAATCATTCATGTTAGTATGTCTGCAGGACGCCACAGGGCCCCTGCATTTTCACCACCACATGGCTCATTTATATCTTAAAAGAGTCTGCAAAGGCTGCAAGCCGAAGTGCTTTTGCGGTGTGGAGTGGTCCTTTAATGTAAACAAAGCTCTGGGGCCTGACAGAATTCACCCACAAGTACTTTAGGGGTTAAGTGTTGAAATAAATGAACCTGTTTTTAGACTTCTAGATTCTTTTCCTTCAGGAATTGTACCAGAGAATTAGAGGAAGGCAGATGTGGTTCCTATATTCAAAAAAGGTTAAATGTTGCCTGTAAATTATAGACCTGTGAGCTTAACTTCTGAGGCTAGGAAAGTACTTGAAGGGTCATTAAGGGATAATATTCTGGAATTCACTGGGAAGAACATTGTTATTATCAATAATCAGCATGGTTTTATAAAACATAGGTTATGTCAAACTAACTTAACTGCATTCTAAACAAAAAGTAAGTAGAAGTATAGACCAGGTTGTTGTAGTGGATGTGATCTACTTGGATTTTGCCAAGACTACCGTTCCACACAATAGGTCAGTGTTCAAATGAAAAGAAATTGAGCTAGATGAAAATGTTTGTTCTTGGGTAGAACATTGGCTTAAAGATAGAGTGCAGAGAGTTGTCATTAATGGTGCATTTTCAAGCTGGACAAAATTGGTAAGTCATGTCCCTCAGGGTTCTGTTCTATTTAACATATTTAAAAATTATCTTGAAATAGGCATTACCTATAGATTGTAAGCTCATGGGCAGGGCCCTCTACCTGTTGTATAGGTTTGTTTTTATTGTATTGTCTTTTTCCCAATTGTACAGCACTGCGGAATATGTTTGGCGCTTTATAAATACCAGTTATAAATAAATAAAAAATGTTTCGGTGTTTAATTTAATGTAGAAAAATGCAGAGTTATGCACTTTAGGGTAACAAATGCACAAGCAACTTACACCCGATGGGAGTGAATTAGGGAAAACAACACACAAGAAGGAATTGGGAATTGTTATAGATAATAAACTAGGCAACAATGTGCCATGTCAATCAGCAATTGCTAAGGCCAGTAAGGTATGGTCATCTATAAAAAAGGGCATTAATTATAGGGATAAAAATATAATTTTGCCTCTTTATAAATTACTAGTAAGACCACCACAATGAATATGATGTGCGATCAAGGATATTATGGCACTAGAAAAGTGCAGAGATGGCCTACAAAATTAATAAAAGGAATAGAGCATTTTAGTTATAAAGAAAGGTTAACAAATTTACATCTCTTTAGTTTATAAGAACAAGGCCTCAGAAGATATGATAGCAGTGCAAAAATATTTTCGAGGTCAGTACAAACCATTGACTGGAAATCTATTCATAAACAGGTCTACACACAAGATCACACATTTAGATTGGAAGAAAGGAGATTTAGTCTAAGGCAAAGGAAAGGTTTTTTTTTAAAGTAAGAACAATAATAATGTGGAAAACTGCCTGATTAACCCCTTAAGGACACAACTTCTGGAATAAAAGGGAATCATGATGGAATATTTCCGTCATGTGTCCTTAAGGGGTTAAGTGGTTTTGTTAGAGTCTGTACAGTTTTTTACACAGCAACTGGATAAATACTTACAAAAGCATAATATTTAGCAATATCATTTTTAAATTGTGGGGTAATAGAAACTTGATTCAAGGAGAGATTTGACTCCCATTCTCGCATCATAAGGAATTTTTTCCTAGTTTGTTGCAAAATTGGAAGCGCTTCAAACTGGGCGTTTTGCCTTCTTTTGGATCAACAGCAAAAACAGATGAGAGAAAGGCTGAACTTGATGGACGCGTGACACTTTTTAGCCTATGTAACTATGTATGAAGCAAAACAGGAAAGAAGAAAACAGAAAAAATCATTAGCTTGTTTTTCAGTTAGTCCCCACTCAAGGTTTAAAGAAGTGTTTACTGACTTACCTTGCCACTATAGAGCAAACCTATACCATTGTCATGTCACACTAATACCATCTATAAGGACAGTATGGATCTAAAATGCCAGCAAGTTCCCTCTACATGAGAAATAGAGAAACCCCAGATTAACGTTTTGGCCTTGTCGGACCTTGTTACTAAAGTGTAACTGATACCTCTGTAGCCAAGGTGCTCTTAGGATCCGCATTTGGATTAATCTTTTAATTTGGGGAGACAAAACAAATGCATTGAAGTGAAATCTAATTGGGAAGATAAGAACAGGCAAAACTTCAGTAGGTTTCTAATTGGTTAGTCTCTGTTCAGGTCTCAAACAAGTTGCATCATTACAGAGAAGCTATATCATTTGCACACCAGGCTAATTTTACCCATAATGGCAGCCCAAATCCAAAAACGGGGGAATTGGCAGCACAACTGGAACATGCATTTCTCAGCAATAGTGCAGTCATAGAGTGCAAAATGTATACAAAATACATATTAAGGAACAGTGCACACAAAGATGAAGTTTTAAACTCTATAAAGCTACTTAAAATAATCTATTTCAGGGGCGGAGCTAGCGGAGGAGCAGAGCGGACGCGTTCTCCAGGAGCTCCGTGCCAGATACCGCACAAGCTTCTTTTCGAGGCTACTTGACGAAGTTACCTGGGCACACCAACCCTCACCCAACACGGGAAACAACGATGGGTCGGAAGCACAAAAAAACTAGAGCTGACAAGGACCCTACCACCCACGATATCGGGGAACTTCTCCGGCGCTCGCAAAAGACCGCATGGGACAAAATGGCGACAGGTGAGGAAGCTTACTCCTATTCCTCAGATGACTTCTCCATAGACCCCGGGGAAGGTGCAGCATATGTCCCACCACCCACCTCAAAGCCCCAGCGCACCCCTACAGAAGAGCCAGTTACTGCTTCTGTACTTAAAAGCATGCTGGAAGAACTCAGAACAAATATAGCGGCCGACATGGCCTGCATTAAAGTGGCAATAGAGGGGGTCACCGCCAGGGTCACACAGTTAGAAACCACATTGAACACCCAGGAATCCAGGATAAAGACCCTGGAACAAACACTAACAGAGATGAAACAGCAGCAACAGGCATCCAACGAACGAATAAATACGTTAGAAGACCAGCAAAGACGTTACAATGTAAAGATCCGTGGTATTCCGGACTCTATAAACCCCGCAGACCTACCGCACTTTATCAGACGCCTGCTGGCGGACCTATTGCCACCAAAACAGGCAAAA